GATTAGGACAGGTCATTTGTATACGGTACTTAAAGCAGTGCCTGGTACACCCTCCTAAGTGTTTATATTTAACCGCTATCTCTGCAGTGGCATCACGAACCTCCCACAGGGCACCCTCTTTGATTATAGGAAGGCTCTTAGCTGAGAAGCCCCTAAGGGAAGCATGGGGAGTGGTGGAAAATGGAAACAACGCGTGGCTCATAGTTGCCCTTCCGCCCCCTCCCCTCTTTGTAAACCGTCCACATCCCTCTTCAGCTCCCTGTCCCAAACATTTATGGCCGACCCTGGCCTCTTAGGTTCCATTCCACTACTACTCCTCTAATGCAGTTCTTCCCTTCCCTGCCCGTCACCCACCCCCCAACACCCCCATCTCCAGGTCTCCTCCTGTTCCTTCCCTGGGTCACGTGCAAGGCAAGGCCCCTCTGCCAGTGGTTTGCATTCCTGCCACTTGCTGTCCCACAGGGGTATTCCTCCACTGGCCGCAATTGCTGGGAAAATTACAGCCTCGGCTCGGTCAGGCTCCCATTGTTAGCCTCCCCATATCCCCCAACTTAGCTGTTCCCATGTGGTGCAATTTTTCTCACCAAGTGTTGTTTTCCTTTTCTCTGCCTGTGTTTGCACGGAATGCCATGAATTTGATATAGTGATTGCCTAACACATATACCACATAATAGTATTTTATTTCTTTCTGAAGCACTGTTTGCATGACAAATGAGTTGGTAACATTTGTGCAACTCCTTGCAGCTGTGCAGTTCCATATATAAGGAATGAGCCTTTCGGCATCAATACTGGCCCTGTTGTATCTAAGAGGGCTTGAAGCTGATGCTTAAACCAAGCGAACGTTCCAGCATTTCACAGAGTTATGGTCTGCTTCATCCCAATGGATCCCAGGGCGATTTAAAAATATGTACTGAACTGGAGCCGCCCCCAACAGTGGTCCCCAGTGTGGGCTTTGTCAGCCTGCCCTGTGTTTGGGGACGCTGCTGCCGCCGCCCCACATACCTGAGGCCAAATGACCCCCACCCGCCAGGTCTGTTATCTTGCCTCTAGCCTGGAACCCATCATGTCGGTGGCCACCGTTTTCTGCCCCCATGTGATCTACCCTCTGCCCCCACAGGGCTTCTAGCAGTTTCTGGATTCGTCTCGCTGGGTCCAACAGGCCTTTGGCGTAGTGCACTACCACTCACAGGGTGCTTGCCAATCAGTGCCCTCCCCCGGCCCCCCACGCCCATGCGTGGAAGGAACCTCTCCATCTGATTGGGCAAAGTCAGTCAGAAACCCCTCACAAGTCTTTCGTCCCTCTCAGGTTTGGGGCCTCTCCCTTTGCCTCCTGAGCTCCCCCTTCCCCTCCTGCCCCTTATGTGGACTGATAGCCCCTCTGAGGCCCTCCGTCAATGTTCCCCGCCCCCAAGACCCCTTTACCCTCTTGCTGCAGCTCATTTTCCTCCACGTGACCACCCCATGCCTTCTTCACAGACCCCCGGGTCTGCCCCAGCGGGGGCTCGGCCTGCTGCCTCATGTCAGGAGCTGCCAGTCAGGCTCTTTGGGGCGTTCTCAGAGTATGCCTTCCGGGTCACGTATGGGAATGCAGATTTTAAAGAAAAGGGCAATACTGCAAAGTCAATGGCTGCCCTGTGGGCCCCTTTTCTCATCACTTTCTTGTGGGTTTTTTTTTTTTTTTTTAAGGTGAACAGCTCAGGCTGCAGGCGGTCTTCCTGATTTATTAAAGGCAGAAGAGGAAAAACAAGCTCCAATGTCCAGATCTACTTAGTAACCACATCCACGCATTTAGCAGAGGTGAGGGGCCTCCAGGAGGACGTTCCGGATTCCCAGAGGGCTGCCATGCTGCCTGCCGTCCTGCTGACCTCTCTCGGTCTCAGCAGAGCCTTATAATAACAACAGTCATAAATCTTTTAGTGGCTTCCATTTTCCTTCTCCTCCTGCGAAAGCCCTGCACACATTTATCAGGTCCTTAAAGATGCGCGGGGACCATGAGCTCCTCCTTGATCCACCTCCTTGCCAGCCTTGTGCGGCTCACAGGGTTCCCTTGGTACCATGTTAGGGTCACACCATGGAGTGGTGGGGCACAGGGAGAGTGTGGCTGAAAAATGGTGACAGTGTGGGTGGCATCTCGGCTCAGGTTTTGACTGGAATGGTCCCAGCACTGCTCAACTTCTGGCCGCCTCATCTCAGTGCCCTGGGAAAGAGGAGAGCACCTTCATCTCTCCAGGCCAATGAAGGGGCAAAGGGACTCACAGAGAAATGCCAGAGCAGGTATATCGGGCAATTTTGTTGGCTGCTTTTCATAATCAGCTGAAAATACAACAAAACTCTCATTCTTCTGGCCGCACTTTGATATCTGTGGGTAAGAGTTCCGTTAGAGGCATGGAATACATTCGCCAATGTCAATAACGAATTGTGTATGAAGAAAAATGTAATGCTTTCAGAACATTTTCTTTTGGGCTTTGTCCATGATTAGATTACACTAAATTACAGAGTACAGATATCAGGCAATTACTCTTTGCTTTTAACTATTCAATTTCATGGCAAATCCACATAGCTCAGTAATTATAAAATCATACCGATGTGGTTGCCGAGAAAATACCTCATCATCTCCATCTTGTGAAGCTGGGCTCAGGTCGCCTTGTAATCACTCGTGGTCCTGTTAAGTGTAAAGTACATTCCAAACGAAGAGGGGTAACTCTCTATAACTGCCGAGTTTTCTGGAGAGATTCTTGCAGATGTTGCTGGATAAACCTCAGTAAGATGTGAGGAAGACAGGTGTTCTCATCTGTCTGGTTGCTCTGGGCACTCTCCCCGCCTCTGGTCCTGGCTGGGTCCTGGTCCTGGCAGTGGGTAGCTTTAACCAAGAGTGTATGTCTTTACTTCTGTTTTGTAACCAAGAGCGTGTCTCTCTTTGCTTCTGTTTTGTGAAAATATGGTCATTTTGTCTTGGCTCCGCTCACAGTACCCTCCCCAACCTCCCCCCAGTTTTAATTTCTTCCAGGGCTGTGGATGTCCTGTAAGCAATCGAGTCCGCTGTCCTGGAAACTGGAGGAACTCATTGGAGAAAAAGAATTATTTGAGCCAGTTGTGAGAAATTGAACGGCGGCGGGAGGAAGAAAAGGAGAGAAGAAAGGAGCCGACACATCTAACCAGACGGCTGGGGCACCGTGCATACAGATGCAGGTGGTGGCTGGGTCCCTGTTGCGGCTCATTACTGAGAAGCACAGGCTCATTACTGAGAAGCACATCAGAGGCCACTGGGTGAGGGTCAGGGACAACCCGGCTGCAGTAGCGCCGAGCTTTGAACGGGGCTACTCCGCAGAACGAACGGCACACTCATGCCACTTAGGTGCTGAACGCATTCCCATTTTATTTTATTTTATTTATTTTTTTTAATGTTTTATTTATTTCTAGGAGAGAGAGAGAGAGAGAGAGAGACAGCGTGAGCAGGGGAGGGTCAGAGAGAGAGGGAGTCACAGACTGAAACAGGCTCCAGGCTCTGAGCTGGCAGTCAGCACAGAGCCCGACGCGGGGTTCGAACCCACGAACCGCGAGATCATGACCTAAGCGAAAGTCGGACGCTCAACCGACTAAGCCACCCAGGCGCCCCTACCCATTCCCATTTTAACAAATGCAGACTGCCGGCGGGGGCATGATCTCCTAGGGGTCTCATTTCCCTCCTTGGCACCCATTTCAACACTGCTACTCAGCCCCAGGATCTTAAGGAAAACTCCCCAGCGGGGAGTTGGGCCTGGGGTGGGGGGATGGGGTGAGGCTGGGGGAGGGAAGAGGTGAGCGCCCCCTGCTGGTGATGGGGGAGGGGGGTCTCATTGCAGGAACAGATCCGAGCAGAGAGAGAGGAAAAAACACAAAAGCCGTGTTTTCCCCATAGAAAGAGACAGTGAGCATTTTGTTTTTCTGCTTTTTGGAGTGTGTTCCAGACAATGGCATGAATGGCATGGTAGAACCCTAAAGGCTAGGGGGACTCTTGGATCCGGTGTCTCCCAACAGCATGCTTTGTAGATTTCTGTTTCTCCCTCCCTTTTCTCCCCGCCCTGTGTAGCCCTCTCCCCATTTTTGGGAGGGTGTTTTGGCAGCATTTCCTAGGAGCCTGCAGCTGCCCTTGGGATGACCAGTACGTGCACAGGAAATTGTGTGCATGTGCAGCATGGAGGGTGTGGGTCCCTTGTGAAGCTTGGGTGTTCCTCAGGGGCATTCAGAGCACCCCAAAGGACCATCCCTTTTATAGGTTGGGGTCATCTTATTCCGGTAACTAATATCTGTGACTAAGCTTTCGCAATGGTTGGGGTGGGTGGAAATATGGAGCGGGCATCATGTCTAATTGCTGATAACCTATGGATAGAGGGAGCTGTGGTTCCTATAAGGCCCCAGTTTATAAATAAATGAACATCCATTAATGGAAAATTAAATTAGAATGAAATTTTCCCGTCCAGTTTTGTTTAGGAGGCAGAAATAAGTGGGTTGACTGTGGAATTTTGCTGCAGATGCTGGAGCATGTAGTCACAAGGTGATAATAATAATAGCAATTTGCTGGTGCCTGTACCCTGATCTCAAGGCACGTATTACCTCCTTGCTTTTGCAAAGGCTCATTGAGGTTAAGGGGCTAGCTGGAAGTTACTCAGCAAGGGGTTGAGTACAGAAGTCTGTGGCTCTCCAGCCATTATAGAACTTGCCAATAAACAGAAAGTGGACCAGGATTCAGGAGACCTGAATTCCAGTCCTTGCTCTGCCACTGACTGGTGTGGGGGCAGAAACTGCCATCTCTCTGGGCCTCAATTTGCTCACCGGCACCCATCTTGCAATTCCGTGGGTCTCACTTAATATTTGAACGTAGATTTTAGCAAAGGCACGTGTTTTGCTACTGCATGTACCGTTTACGGCTGACTCCCTCCGAGCTTTATTTCTTCCTCGTTTATGGAATGACCCAGGTTTGGCCTTTAAAAATTAAAATATTAAATAAAAGAGAATCGTTTCTGTTTATTTGCTACTTTATTTGCCAGAGGGGGCTTGCTTGGGAGAGAGTATTTTCCTTCGGAGCCAGGCTGCTGGGCATGCAGGTTCCGGGGTCTCCCTCGAGTAGGAGGGTCTCCCAGTTTCATTCACCTTCTCCCCAGAGTGGGCTGTCATTTGTCTGCGGAAAAGCAGAGGAGGTCTGCAGCTCAGTAACTGTCAACAGGACTTCTATACCTGCCTGCAGACTGAGGGGGGAGGGGGCGCCCCCAGGGGGAGGTTGGGCCAGGCTTCTGGAAGCTCTCTGCCTCTAGCTTTCTCTGTAGCCTGGGGCAAGTCATTTAACCTTCCCATTCTTCCACCTCCGAACACCAACTCCCCGCCTCTCTCCTCTCCTCCTGGGGACTGTGAGAAGTAATTAGTGGCTGTTTGTCAGACAAGTCCTAGCTTTGCACAAGTGACTCAGGCAGACCTTGAACCGGACAAGGCCACGTGGAGCTCAGAACTTCGATTTGTAGAACAGATCAAGAAAATGCAGGCTTTTGTGGCCAGACCGTTCCAGGATTTCCTTCAGGGGCACTGCCCAGCCTGGGTGGTCTGGGGCAGGGGGAGGGTTGGGTGGGTTGTGGTGGTCAGCTCTGCCAGGAGGCTGTTTGGGGAAGGGGCCTGAGCCCCGGGGGCGGGGCCTTGAGACCCCCCTGGCTGGGGAACTGGGCCTGCTTGGTTGCCAGAAGCCATCTGAGCCTGCCCTGCTCTGGGATTAGGCTCCCCCCAGAGACAGCGGGGAGGTGGGAGGGCACCCTTTCCCCGAGAAGACAGCTTCATGTTCTCAAGTGCAAAGCAGAAAAAACAAATCACCGTCCCCAAGCCCTGCTCAGATGCACTCCGGGGATATTAACGCCCCAGCCGCAGAGGCGCCCGGCCTCCCATACCGCTCTGGGCAGGCAGAAGCACCTCACTCAGCAGCCCTTCCAGGGCGGCCCGGTACTTTTCCAGCTGCCTGGAGTTCATCCTCGTTCCAATTTCCACAGGAGCAGTCAGCTGTGAAATAAGGCAGAGTTAACAAGAAGGAAGAGACACGGAGAGCGCCATTAACCCCTGGGCGCCTTACAGGTGGCAGGGGGAACTGCCAGGAGCCACACCACCCTGCGGCCCCGTTCTGCCCAATCCTCTGGGAGCCATGGCCTTCCAGGGCCAGGCAGGGACTTCTGTCACCTCCCCCCAACTCAAACCAGGGGCCCAGGGCCTGGGAGTCCCCCAGACTTGCTGGGGGGGGGGGAGGGGACAATCAATATACCTCCCCCTGTGGGGAAGCTGGGACAGGAGGGGAGAGTCTGCAGGAACCCATCACCCCCACCCCACCCCGCGCTTTTCATGTGGGAAGACACTCTCCCTCCCCCTTCTCCTGAGTAATGATAACTAGCACCGTGGAGCCTTAGAGCGCAGGCGCTGTTCTAAATGCTTCGTGTCTATTCAGCCTCTCAATAACCCTGTGACGTAGAGACCATCAGTGTCCCCATTCTGCAGAGGAGGAAATGGAAGACAAAGCGGTAGGATAACTTGCTCAAAGCCACGCAGGGACTGAGTAGCCGAGGGAGAAGGTGTTGAACCCAGCCAGCCCGACTCCAGGGTCTGTGCCCATGACCACCAGGCAACTCTTTCTCAAGCACTGCGGGGCCACGGGCGAGACTCCAGAGTTGCTGTATGGAGGCTCATCATCGAAAGAGGTGGTCGTGGCAGAGCGGGGGGAGCTGACTGAGCTTGCTGTCACCCTCGGAGCTTCTTGCTTCAGTGGTCTTGGTCTGCAAACCAGCCGGCAGACTAGGGCATTGCCTGCCTGTCTGGAGAGCTGCGACAGAGGAGTCCCAGGCCCCCCTGCACCCCCCAGTGGCGGTGGGAAATGGGCCTGGGATGCCTGAAGGGCAAGCAGAGGGTCTCCGTGGGCTCTGGCCTCCAGCCCTGCCCCTGTCCTTCCCTTGCCATAGTTATGCCTTTCTCTAGGCATCAGTGTCCTCCCATTACATGAGGAGGCTGGGCGGAATGATCCGGAAAGGACCTGCTGGCCTGTATATGGTGTTCTAGGGAGATGGAAAGGGGACGATGGTACCTCACCCTCAGCCTCCGAGAGGTGTTCCACAGGATATGACATGTGCTTTACACTGCCTCGGGTGCGTTTCCAGAGAGTTCTGAACCACTCACCCCCAGTTCCTCCTGGGGAGCCCAAGGAGCGTATGAGAAGGAAAGGCACGCTCCCCTAACTGTGCCACCCAGTGTGGTGACAGCCCCAAGGAGGCCATGACTGATCTCCCTGTTTATGGACAGTGCACAGTGGCAACATCGAAAGATCACTGGCTGGTGTCCTGAGAAGGCTGAGGCGTGAAGTCCAGCTCAGTTTTGCCCTGACTGCTGTGTGACCTTGGCAAGGCCCTCATTCTCTCTGTGTTATCAGTCTCTTCCCCTCCCAGGCCCTTTTCCAGGAAGGGTCCCCCCCACCTCAGTCCTGGGACTCCTTCCTTCTCCATCCATACCTACCCACTTAAGGATCCCACTGTCCTGGCCTGAAACTCCAGCTAATTGCTGATGCCTCCCACACTGATGTCCCCAGCCCTGAGAACTCCTGAAGTCCAGACAGCTGTATCTACCTGCCCGTGCGATGCCTCCACCTGGATGCCCACCAGGTGTCTTACAGTTCACAGGTCCTGTCTGACCTCCTGGCCTTCTGCCTGTCATCCCGCAGCCGACCATGGGCTTCGCTGTCTCCATCCTTCCTGGTCTTCCGGCCCCAAACCTTGAAGTCCGTTTTTACTTTTCCCTTTCTTCATACCCTACATTCATTCTTTCAGCAAATCCTCAGAGCTTCTAATGCTAAATTATTTCCAGAACCTGACCACTTTGCTCTGCCTCTACCATGACCACCCTGGGCTCTCGGATGCTCTGGTAAACTCCTCGGTGGTCTCCCAAATCATGCCCTTGCCCCTTTGGGCTGTTCTCAACACGGAAGCAGGAGAGACTCTTCTAAAATGTGAATCTGATCATGTCCCTCCTCTGCTCCAAAGCCCCCAGCGGCTCCCACCTCAGCAGAGGGAAAGCAAAATCCAAACAATAGCCTACAAAGTCCACTATCTGGTCTCCCCTCCCACTTCCTCCCCGACTCCCTCTGCTCCAGCCACTCCAGCCTCTGCACTGTTCTTCTGCATTGTTCCCAGAATGCACCAGGCCTCCTCCTACCCCGGGGCCTTTGCATTGACTGTTCCTGCCACCTGGAATGCTCTTCCCCCAGGCAGCCTTATGGTCCTCTGCCTCACTGTCTCCAGGCACTGATACCATCTACTCGGGAAGCCTGCTCTGAGCAGTTGCATCCCATCCGGCTCCATTCCCTGCCTTAATTTCCCCTGCAGCACCTGTTAGGACCGACCACATAACGACGTTGGCTTATTTATTCTGTCTGTAGTCTGCTGCCTATCCTTCTGGCATCTCAGTTCCAGTCTCCCACTGAGGTGTGAGCCTCACGAGCTCAGAGGATGTATCTGTTTTGTTCACCGCCCTAATGCCAGGGCTGGCCCAGAACCGAGCCGTGCTTCACACTGCGGGCTCCGTGTATTCTCCTCACTTGAATAAACGAGTCTGTGAAGTTAAAGAGCCACGAGTTTGTCCATTGCGGCTCTTTAACTTGCGCTCACTCATCCTGAGTCAGCGCTGCAGGCCCCGGGCCCGGGGTCTTGACGCTGTGGTCGTCTCCTAGGGCACCCTGGTCTTCTGTCTCCTAGTGGCCGCGGCTGCCCTCTGACTGGTCTGCCTCCGCTCGTGCTGCCCCAGATCTTTCTAAGTTGGATGAGAGGACTTTCCTGCTGTGAACCCCCCAGTGACCCCAATGACATGGTGCCTGGGCCACTAGGGCCTGCCAATCTCTTGTTCTCTCCCAAGTGTGCCCTGCCCTTGCGGGCCCCACACCTACCACGTGCTTCCCATGCAGGGCCTGTGCCCTCATTTTCCTTCTGTGATGTTCTTGCTCTAGCTCTTTGCATGAGAGGCTCCTTCTCATCATTCTGGTTTCAAAGCAAAGAAATTTGAGGCCTCCTCTCAGAGGCCTCCCAGCCAAAGCAGTGCTCCCAGCCCCCACCCCCTCACCCTCTATCATGTCTCCTTATTTGGTGCTGGAAATGGTTTACTGTCTCATTGTTGGTGGCTGTGTCTCTCCTAGGATGGAGCTTGTTGCCTGAATGTCTGGTTTGCTGCCGTGTTCTAGAACAATCCGTAGCTGGCCAAGGGCACCCTTCCCCACACTGGATTTCTCTGCACTGTCCCCCCGTCTGCTCACCTTGATAACTTGGTTTTCTTCTTCCTCTGTGGGCTCCGTAGGGTCCAGAGGACCCTCTTCCTCGGACCTCTGCTGTACAATCAGGGATTTCTTTTGCCCTTTGTTCCGCTCCTTTTCCTAAGGGCAGAGCACAAAATTGCACAAAGCCTTCCATCTCTCATCGCCCAGATGGCCCTCGCCTGGCTCTGCCTGAGGTGCTAAGTCGCTTGAGCTTTCCACAGGCCAGAATTCTCCCAGTGCTCAACACAAAGAATTCCAGAAACCCAACGGCTTACAAATGGCCCTGAGACTGCCCACTAACAGGTCAACTTGAAGAAGAATCCATTCCCTTGTGGTTCGAGCGTCGTACCCAGGTTGTTACTGTTAATTAAGTTAAAATGCTGAAAATAATGGCTGCCCTTCATGCATATTAAGTGTGGAAATGTGTTTTTCTTCGCAGAGAGCCCATAAAAAAGGTGGCAAGACAGCCTCGCCTGGGAGGGCACCATGGGGCGGCCCAGAAACTGGAGTCCCTGGGAGGTGATTTATAAGAGGCAAGGCAGGGAGATGAATTATGGAGGAAGGAGCTTGCAGTGTCTTCACAGACATCCCGGTGCCTGGCAATCCTGAGGAGCAGAGGCGCAGAGCGGAGAAACGCAAAGCGTCCTTTGGTTACCATTTTGCTAGTTTACGTTCTACCGAGGTTGACTGTTACGGCCCAGGCCCAAACCTGACGTGGCGTCCTGCCTGCGGGGTCCCGGGACACCTAGATCAGACACGCCTCATGCCTTTGGCTTCTCTAATGACACCCTTGGGATTCAGCTCTGGGCCTTTGCCTGAGACACGGTGATTCTAGAACAATTGTCCCTTCCGGAGAGGAAGCCAGTGGCAGAGATTGTATGTTTAGGGCACCTGCTGTTTCTCCTCCGTATTTCCATGTCTAGCCCTGAGGAAGGGGAGCTGAGGCCGGCCTTGCCTCAGGACAAGGACACCGGCCACTGGGAATGTGGAAGCTTGCCCTGGATAGAGTATGTAGGTCCAGGGGCCACACGGCCTCCCAGAGCACGGATTCTCGTACTTGTCCCTATTGGAGCCTCAGTCTCAGACAGGTGGGGAAGTCCCGTTTAGCAACTCAGGTCAAAGAGAAGCAAATGTCTGCACAAGATACTCAGAACACGTTGACCTGGGTCTGGCAATCCAGTTTTCCAGAGGCCCCACCACCTGAGTTCTATTAAGCCTGTCTTGTTTCCTTCTGGGTTTTAAAGAGGAGGCTCTGGCCAGCACTCCATGGAGGACCAACCCCCCCTTCTTCTCCCTGAACACCCCTGCTCAGTTCTCACCTTTTCCGTTCCGCCATCCGCCAGCCCAGGGAGGCTTCTCCCGCCTCTGAACTTAGCACTTAACCATCAGCATTACTTACTGGGCAATTAATTCTGTCCTGCCTTGTGCCATGTCCCTTTTGTTTTCTATGGTTAGTGAATTTTTCATATGTTTGTATTTTGGCTCCTAAGCCTGCTTGGCTTCTCACCAGGGGTGGCCCTTTGTGCTACAGAGATGGTCAGCAAATATGTATCGGCTTGCTAATTGAAAACTTCCTCTGAAGGATGGGCGGGGTGGGAAAAGATGTCCCCTGTGGGAGCCACTGTCACCTTTGATTGGTGCCAGTGGGGAATGAAGGTGGCAGGGAAGCCGCTGGAGTTTGGGGTTAGCCTGGGTCTGGGTCCTTCATGCTCCCCTCAATGTCACGGGGATAGCTGATTAAACATGAGTTTTCCAAAGGGACACTTGTGCCTTAGAGAGACTCACGCCACCTCCGTGGTGAGCAGGGCTGTGAGTCACTTGGGCCACACTGGGGAGGCAGGCAGCCCCCGGGGGTTTCCTACCCGAAACCTCTGGAGCTCGCTGTGGGTGAAGATGGGAACGAAGGCTTCTGTCTGGGAGGCCAGCATGGTGGCCACGTGCACCAGCAGCAGTGCAGCCACCACCTTGCGGGACACCATCCTGTAGCTGGACAACGACAAGAAGCTCCTGTCATCAGGTTTAGGGCGCACACCCTGCCTATAGCTGTGGCCTTGAGCAAGCCGCTCAGCCTCTCCTGATGTGGGCCGGGTACAGGGCTTTCTTTACCAGAGGAGCTCAGAGCCCCTCCTCTGCCCCAGAGCCAGGAGCGGCTGCCCGGCCTCTGTCACACACTGGGGGAGAGGCACTCCACACGCCACCCACCCTCGTTGTTACCAGTGAGGTCTTCCAAAGCCAGCTTGGCTCATGAAGGGGGTAGGGACCCCGTGTCTCAGAAGAAAAACTTGGGATTATCAACAGAATTGAGCCCCAAGATGCAGGGAGCCCTCACTGCTCCCTGAGCTGATTAGGATGATGAAAGGGATGGACCCAGGCTCAGATGACCCTGGCTCTCCCCGGGAGCGCCAGGCAAAGACCTTGGGTCTGAAGAAGAAGAGGCTGGAACCCTTTGCCGAGGTGAAGGCAGAGCCAGATGGAAATTTTCGACAGGGAACAGCATCCCCGAGCTGGGAGTGGGGTCTCCACCCCTGTGGAGCTCAAGACTCTCTTGAGCTCCAGCCATCTAGAAACAATAAGGAGTTCACCTCTGCCCTGCACCTCCCTGCCCCCCACCTTGGAATGCCATGACTGCTGGGGGTGCCTGCATGTCTCTGTGCCTGCCTGGGGCCTCCCGTGTCCCAGGATGTGAGTGTGTTTGGAATGGTGGGCAGGAAGCTGGGCAAGCCACAGTTGTCAGGGACCAGGCAGGTATGGTGACCTCAAGAGTGCAAAGGCTTGAGAAATGGGATCAGGGGGTGCCTGGGTGGCTCAATCGGTTGAGCATCCCACTCTTGATTTCAGCTCAAGTTGTGATCTCAGGATCGTGGGTTCAAGCCCTGCATTGGGTTCTGCACTGAGCATGGAGCCTGCTTGAGCTTCTCTCTCTGCCCCTCCCCTGCTCGCAAGCTCTCTCTCTCAAAAGAAAAAAAAGAGAAAAAGAAGAAAAAGAGGTGCAGTCAGTTTGGCAGACTTGGGGCCCTGTCAGGATGGTCCCGTAGCAGGGGTTGGGGGAGGGCTCTGCCTGCTTGGTGCCACCCTTAGTTGATTCCGTAATTACCCTGGTGCTCAGTGTCCCCTCCCAAGCCCTGTCCTACATGATCCTCGCACTCACCTGGGAGCAGGTTCAGTCTGGGGGCGGGAGAAGACTTAGAGAGGCCAAGACCTAGAGAGGGGCCAGGCCCCAGAGCGAGGTGGGGACCCCAGGGGCAGCCCCTGCTGCAGCCGGAGTGGGGGTGATCACAGGGTTGCAGATCAAGAGCTTTGGGGGAGTTGGCCCGGGGCAGAACCCTGGACTGTTCTCTAAGCTTCTCTACAGGTCCAACCCCAAATCCTCTTCTGTAGAGAATCTTCTAAGCCTGTGGGCTTGCATCCTGCCTCCCCACCCCCCACCCCCCCGTGGGACCTGTCTCCTCAGTCATCTGCAGCCACCTCTCTGAAGCAGGACACTCCCTCTGCCTTATTTCGATCTTTCTGTCCCCGTCCTATTTTCTCTCTCCATCTGGTGAACACTCCATGATAAAGGATGAGAGAGCTCAGGCAGCCAAAGCCTCCCATGTCAGCTGCATACAGATTCCTAGTGGGGTCAGAAGACCGCTCACCCACCGAAGGCGCCTCTTGGGAAGCCGAAACCCCGGCAGAGAGGATGGGCGGGGGTGGTGAGCTCCCAGGCACTATCCCCCTCCCTGTTCCTATGCTTCCCCTTTGGCGTCTGTGGAGCCCCGATCTCCCTCCCAGCGGGGACGGATATGTCACATTTATGGTATCCCATTTCCTTCACAGAGATGCTATAGAGCCCTTTTCATTCCGGTGTTCTCATTTAATTCACTCCATAAGAATCAATAAAAACTTTAAATAAAAAAAGGCAAAATCCAATTGCTGCTCATTTTCTTGATCCAACTGGCAGTTGGCATGTCACCTACATTCATTTGTGTTTCTGGGAGCTCGGAGTGGGAGAGCTTTTTACTGTATGATGAGATAGTGACTTCCCTTTTCCATCTCCAGCGATGGGGCTCCAGCCTTGCAGTGATCAGCTCTGGATGAGGGGGTGCCCGTCTCCTCCCTCCCCTTCTTGGCAGCCGGACCTGGTTAGTTTTGCCCCTTCCTATACTCTCCCTAGAGACCAGCCCCCTCCTGGACTTTCCAGAGCAAAGCCTTCATGTCAAGTGGGGTCCTGGGTCCATGCTGAGCTCTGGCTTAGGCTCCTGGCCTGCGGTCAAGGGCACCACGGCACCACGCAGCCCAGAGAGCCTCTCTTTTGCCAGGACTTGCACCCACCAGCTCCTCCCTCCAGTTTCCGTGCCTCCGGGCTGTCCTGCCTTTGCTCGCTCTATGTGGGGCTTCAACCTGCTACTCCGGAAATTAGCTCTGGGCTATCAGTCCGAAGCCTCGCTAAGTATTTGAAGGCGGTAGAGGGACGTAGGGAAGAGCTCTGGACTGGGCTGGCTCTTCTCACACCACTGTTCTGCCCTGGGGCTCAGGCTGAACTCCCTGCCCCCCACCCCCCTTTCTTCTGTGGCTACTCACAGCAGCGCAGTCTGGGTGGCACTGGTGTCCTCCGTCTCTGCCCCTCCGTTGGTATCTGGCTTATCTGACTGGCCCTTATATCTGCTATCTGGCTGGTCTGCAGCACCCTTGAGCCCTCCCTTGGGAGCCCATTAACCTTTGGCCACACCCTGGGGGCTTTGGGTGGGGAGCCTGGATTCTCGAAGCTCATGGAAACAACACGTTGTCGTCGTGGACTTCTGGGGCTCTCCCGGAAGGCGACAGTAAGGATGTGGAGGCCAGCTCCCACCCAGATGGCACTTTCCCATCCACTTAGAACTTAGCTGCCGCTCAGAGGGTCGTCTTAACAAAAGCCCTTTCTTTTTTTGTTAACTTAAATATATGATGCTGTGAGTGTCTTCAGGCCAGCTTTTTAGCGATCAGATTCTCTGTAGGGCTGTCAGAGAGAGTGCTGTCTTAGAAAGATAACTTGTCTTCAGCCTTCCTCCCCTAAGCCCCTCACGAAAGAAAGAAAGGGCTCAGGAGTGTATGGCATTTTAAAGCGACTAATGAAAAGACAATGACAGTCTAGACCCAGGGCTGTGGAGCAACAGAGGCTCCGTGGGAGCCCGGGAAATGTGTAAGGCGTGTGCTACAGAAGTCGTATAGGCACGTAGCTTAAATGGGGAGATGAGACAGCTATCTGGGAACAGTTCATGGTACTTGTGTAATTCAAATGGTAAATTGAAGGATTTAAACAGGGAAGAGATGAATGTAATCTGGAGTTTGCTGCTGCTGCTGCTGGCCAGTGCCGTTTCTGGAACCTGGTGGCACCTCTGGCACCACTCATGGAATGCTTGACATGCGTGTTCTAATCAAGTCTCAGTGATGCCATGACGTTGGTGCTCTTACTTGTCCCATTTTACAGATAAGGAAACCGAGGCACAATTAAATAGCTCCTCTGTGACCCCACTGCAAGGTCTCTCTTTCTTTTTAAGTAAGCTCTACCCTCAATGTGGGGCTCAAACTCACAACCCCAAGATTAAGAGGTGCATGCTCTACCAACTGAGTCAGCCAGGCATCCCCAAAGTCTCTCTACACAAGGGTCGAGGCCGGACGTGGGGGCCTCTGGGATGCAGAGCATACACAGGTGCAAAGGGTGGCATAGGATGGCGAAGTCACAGGAAGTCCCCTGTGGGTTGGGAGAGGGCCATTGTGGGATCCTTAGGAACCAAGTGTGGGAGTTCTTAGGAACCAAGCAGAAGGATTTGGATTTGATGGGGAGAGAAACAGAGGCCCTCAGAGTGCTTTGAAGGGGCTTAGTGATTGGGCCCAGTCATCTGGGCAGGGCGAGGAGAGGCTGGGAGGAGGCTGGGGCAGACTGAAGGTGAGGTCCAGAGGGTCTGGGCGAGCAAAGGCCATTTCCCCAGGAGAACCTCACTGGTCATTAGCACCTTCCAGAGAAGCTGCCCCAAACATCCAGATGTTGCTTCTTGTTGCCTCTTGTCCAGGAACCTCTCCCCGGTCAGTCCTCCAGTCTGCCCTGGCTTTTCCTCTCAGAAAGAAACCAGTGTTTGCAGGCGCTTCAAACCCAACCCCACATAACCTCTAAACCCCCTGCTCAGCCAGGTGTCGAGCCAGCAGGGTCTCTGCATTCTGCTCCGATGCCGGGTCAGACCTCCGCTCACTGGATTGCTGCCTGTTGTCAGACGTGTGCACTGGGTGTCTGCAGTCTTCGAGATTTATCGCAGAGGAATTAGAGCTTGAAATGCCAAGGGCTTGGAACTGAGATGCCACTCCCTTCCCTGCCCCAAGTTGCAGGAGTGGCTTTTAGGATGAGGTCACAGACCTTGGTGGGGACAAGGTTAGCACGAGGGCAAGGAAGGAGCTCACCACCCTCCCAGGCTCTGCGAGGCTCAGCCTCCACTATGGACTCGTATGGGGGGACAGATCAGTTTCTGCATCTCTAACGCATAGACCAGGGTCAGGCCAACTATGGCCCATGACCCAAATCCTACCTGCCACTAATTTTTACATAGCTTATCAGCTACAAGTAGTTTTTACATTTTAAAATAATTCTTAAAAATCAAAGGAAGAATAATATTTAGTGATAGGTGAAATTCCAATTTCTATGCCCATAAATAAGGTTTTATTGGAATACAGCCACTGCCATTCATTTGTTTATTGTCTATGGCTGCTTTGGGGCTACAACAACAGAGACGAATAGCTGGACAGAGACATTAAGACCCACAAAGCTGAAAATATTTATTATGTGGGCCTTCTAAAAAGAGTTTGCTTACCCCTGACCTCGACAGTGTCTGGAGTGTGTAAGGTGCTTGATATGTAAAAAAAAAAAAAAACAACAGCCAGACATCAGCTTTTTGCAATCTCACAACATGCTCTGTGAGGCTGGTGTGAATATTATTCCACTTTACAGATGGGAAAACTGAGGTGAAATAATGGGTGCAAGGTCACAGCTACTAAAATGGCAGGGCCAGGATTCAAAATCTGGTTTCAGAGTCCACTGTGCTTTTTTGCCACTTGATGTTTGATGAGTGAGCACTTAGGATGCCCATAGCTGGGGAAGGCTCTTAACAGTGAGTGCCTTGTAGAAATTCCACAGACCTGGCACGTTTTCCTAAGCCAGCCCCCCGCAAGGTGTGTGAGCATGATGCAGTCTGAGCTCACCAACCGGGACAAGTTCAGGTTGCTCTTGTGTGTTGTTAGCTTTGGAGAGGCCAGACCTGTACCTGGGGAGGGCTGCAAATGGTGGGCCAGGCCGTTACCAAACACAAGGGGAAATTCAAAACCTCTTCCCATCACTTCTCTACACCAGGGCTCTGAGACCTGGGCCCTGCCTCTGCTGGGCCAGTCCGGCCTCTGGTCCAGAGACACTCTGTCTGAGAAATGATAGGAATCTCAGAACAGGAGACAGGTTGGCAATGAGAAATGGGGAGAAGGGAGGTGCTGGAAACAGTAAATAATCTGGGATCAATATTCTGGGCGTGAACTGCATTATCCCGGATCTTGCCCGTGATTCAGTACTTCTGATCCAAGCAATTTGCAGTCTTGCAGTATGATACCTGCAGTTTGCTCTGGAAGAAAGGCAAATCAGGGTTCACAGTGAGCTACTCCTTGTAATGCAGAGGAGAACGCGACTGATGGGGGGCTCTGCTCTGGGGTTACAACCTGCAAAGGATGAAGGAGCCTCTCCTTCATACCCCTCTTGGCTGCAGATCTTGAAGGTCAGCCCCTTAGGGAAAGCCTCTCACCGGGAAAATGTCTTCTCTCTCCTCTCTGTCGGGTGCCTTGGCCCTTGATGTGTATTTTCCACCGTCACGGATGGTGCTTCAGAAGCGAGAGATGCAGGGGTAACAAGCCTAACAATGACTACTTTGTCTTTACCATGTACACCTTCTCTCCCTACAAATGCCCAATTAGTGGCTATTTCTCCTGCTAGAAACTGGACAAAAATAAAAGGAAGGCGTAATCTGATGTCCTTCATTCTCCAAATGGGAATTGCCACTGATGTGCAGCGGTTGAAACAGGGGGGAGGCAAAAAACCCAACCCCAAGTCCAGGAAAGGAAGTCCACAGCACTCAGAGGAAACGACTCTAACCACACGTGGGCACTTGATTGCCTCTTTCCCCCATGTTGGGCAGAAGTATTAGCCGTTAAGCTCTCCTCTCCTCCTGACCTTGAAAATATTGTTTGCTGGGTACTGCCATAACATCTTCATTAATGGCCTGGAACAGGGAGGCAACGGCATGTTAATTAAATTTGCAGATGATACTAAGTTGGGAGATATAACAAACATCAGGAGGACAGAGACCTAATATGAGAAGACGTTGGGAGCTTAGAACTACAAGCTGGAAAAGGCCAGGTGAGCTGCTGGACATATGTCATCAAGGCCCCGGGGACACGGGATGAGGAAGTGGAGGGTGAGGAGAGGCCAGCAAAGAAGGAAAGCTGCGGCTGGGGGCCCTTGGGGGGGAGGCATGGAGGCTCATGCATTGCTGTATTTTCCAGATGGTTCCCTCAAAGAGGCAGAGGACGGTGGCCATGGAAGACAGAGTTCAGATGAGTCAAAATAGCCCCGGGATTGCTGGGAGTGCCAAAGCTTAAGGTATAAAAATGAAAAATGAAAGGTTTCGAAAAGGCCGGCTTGCCCAGAACGCTGGTAAGAATTAAATGTGCATTGCTGACGTTAAGCGAAGGCCAAAGAGAGGCAAAGAACACAGCGTCAAGGGCCGGAGCGGTGCGGGGTGGGGGTGGGAGTGGAGGTGGGGGCGAGGGGAGGAGGGGCGGGATGGCTGTGGCTCTGCCTCCAGCCGTCCCTCGTGGAGCTAGAGGTGTGTGACTGGGCTCATGAGCAAAAATACTAGCTGATGGTGATGCCATTTGAAACTAGGGCAAGCAAAGCACTGAGAGATGTATTTTAGGCAACAACTGTGCCCTGGCCCATGGGACGCGGGCTTTGGTGACCTGTGGGGTATTTTTATTCTTTTCCTTCTACGGCTCAGGGTCTTTTTTCAGAAGTCACAAATGATTTGTCGAGAAATGATACACAGCAGACACCATACGCCAAGAACCCCTGGTGTAGAAATAGTGTGCGTAGAAAGGAAAACAAACTCGGAGAGGGTCCGTCCAGAATTAATGTCCAATTTGTTGAGCTTCTTGTGTGTTACATCTGATACTTGAATTAACATTCCTGCATCTCCGATTTCCTGTTGAGTCCATTCAACGTGCACCAACAACCTGGACCCAAAACAATCCAATAAAATGCTTTCTCGTTCCGTTCAGCTTTGTGGACTATTGACAGTGTGCACAGAACTTGGGGACTCGGTTGAGTTTTACAATAGCATTCCTGCCGACTTCCCGGTCAATACTTCCCCGGGTGGTTAATATACTCCTAGAAATGTCCCAGTCACTAACTTGCTTCTGGGTTCCCTTTCTATTTATGGGGGTTTATCACAAAAGCTGCTGCTATAAAACTTCAAAAAGAGGTCACATAACTTTTTTTCCAGGGACAGGATGCAGGTGCTAAGAGCTGGGTCTATGGGTTGACTTTGGTGGGATTTGTTTT